AAAGGTTCAAAGAAGGTGTATTTATGAGTGGCAGAGGCATAATGGTTTCGGGAGAGTGAATTACACTGTCCTATGGCACCTCTCTGGCCTTTTGTGTTTAGCCACGTCAAGACAGAATGCTAAGCTATATTTTCTCTACAGATGATTTAATATGACAAAATTTATGTCCTTAAGGGAAAAACACCTTATTCAGTCAAGTGCCTTAAAAATCTTAAATAAGGAACACAATTTGCTCATTCTGTAGGGATGTCTTTTTTAAAGAAAACTCTCCACCTCTTCTAGAAGGCCCAGAGTTTGTCAGTTGCTGGGAGCTGTTTTCATGAACACAGTGAGGCTGGGGTGGGATTGAACCAACAGTAATGGTGGATGTGCCATGTAACTTCTAAACAGATTAAGAGGGTCAGAGGGGGACAAGACAGGCAGGGACTTCCACAGGTTCCATGGTGTACCCCGTGAGGCCCATATCAGTGAGAAAGCCATGTGAACAACCCCTTGTGCCATGCATGGGATGCCTTCCTGGGCAGGTGTGGCCTTCACACCTTCTCATCCCTCTTCAGTTATGCAAGGGCTGACCCTGGAACCTTGTATCCTGGGATGTGAAACCAGCCATAGAAAGAGGTAGGAATAAGAAGGGATATACTAGCAGCCAAGGTTAGCTTTCCTTTAACTCTTTCTTGGATTCCAGTGAAATATATCCAGAAAAAATTATTCTACTAAAAGTACATTAAACAGCAGGACTAAAAGTTGATTCTTTCTCAGTTTATCAGAATTATACTGTATAAATGGCCGAGTCAAATAAGAAATTCTACAAGAAGCTTGTTCTGGTTATTTATTGTGTTATAAAAAACTACTCCTAATTTTAGTGTCTTAGAGGAACAACCATTGAATTAAGGCTCCTGGATTCTCTGAGTCAGTAATTTGGATGGTTAATCTCTCCTCCAGAATGAATGGGGACTCCACCTGACTGAGGGCTGGGATCCTCTCGAGGATTCTTCACTCACATTTCTGGCACCTCAGTGGGAATGACTCAAAGGTTGGGCTCAATGGGAACTGTCAACCAGGGTACCTGCACGTGGCTTCCTCATGTGGCTTGGGCTTTTCACAGCACAGTGGCTGGGTTCCAAGAGGGAGTATCTAGAGATAAAGCAAAATGGAAGCCACATGACCTTTTCTGACATAGTCTGGTTTCAGAAATCATGAAGTAGTTCACTTTTCCTGCATTTGTTTGGCATAAGTGAATCACTAAAGCCAGTCTGCATTCAAGAAAGGGGTATTATACTTCCCATATTGATGGGAAAGCTGTGTTACATTGCAGAGGAGCTTGTGGGGGAGTAGATATCATCATGGCTGTCTTGGAAAATGAAGTACAATCGACCACAAAGATGTATATGTATGTACATGTGTGGATATATAATCGCCTGTTTTTCCATGTTAAGATCTGAGAGAATTCTATTGGCATCCAGATGACAGGAAATATAGGATATATTCATTAGGGGATGGGAAGAAGGAAAGGGATTAAGAGCAATATTTATCCATCAGAAGAGAGGAACTGAGTATAACTCTTTTCAGTGAAGAATGTGCAAACTGACAAAAACTAGTGTGGGACTTTCTGAAATTTGAGAGAAGGGAAACATTGCCTTCAAGATATAGATGGACTGTCTTTGAGAAATGACCCACTAAAGGATGCAGAGGAATGTTTTTGAAATCTTCTTTGGAAGGATGAAAGAACACAATAGACACTGCAGAAAGTAGTGTTGGTTTCCATGAAGAAAAAGTCAAGAGGCTCCTTTAGAAAGCAGAAGAAGTGATCAAAGACATAAGAATGATAATAGCAAAGCTAATCGATATGGAAGGCAGAGAATAGATAATGAAACCACGTATCAGGGGCTTTTGAACATAAAGTCAGCAGAAATGGTATTAGAGTAATAATAAAAAATATAAAGAAGAAAACTTTCCCAAATGGAAGAAAGATGGAATCGGCATTTGATAGCATTTAGTAGTTCCCAGAGAAAACAGAGTTAAGACCTACTTTTAGATTCATCCTGGCCAAAAAAAGAAAAAAAAATGTTGAACCTCATAAACAAAAGCACTGATGCAAATCCGTAAATCCCCAAAAGTTTTTATATACAACCCAAGCTGAATTTAGATTTCATCTCTACACTATTAAACATCAGATTAAAATAGGGCAATCTCAATAATATGAAGCAGTAGATAGTAATAAGGTTTTGAGGACAAAAAGTTTTGACCTAAGTATTCATCCACGTTTTTATTAATGTGTGGAAGTAACAGAAAAGCATTCTCGTATATGTAAGTATTCAGAAAAACTACCACACATGTAATAATTAATAATTAAATAGTAAATAATTAAAAGATAATTATACTGATTTCTTTTGGAATGAGAAAATATACATTATAAGAAATTTAACACACTACCTGCCATGTGAGTTGTATTTAACTCACGCTGGTTTTGAGCCCAGAGCCTCTGAAACATATGTAACACACATGTCTCTTCACCTTGGGAGCTGTGAGAACTGTTTTCAAGTTGCATGTAACTTACACACAGAAAACAATAAACAATAACACATTTTTCATTAAATTAGAAAGGATCATTTTTTTTCAAAGTTTTTATTCTATTTTTGTAATAAAATACCATGGCTCCAAGGGAAAAAAAATTTCTAGTGTGGCAGTCAATGTGTTAATAATAATTATGTGAATTTCATATTTCATATTGGAGTAACAAGGCCTGACAAGTAATTAAGGGAAAGACAATGCTGATGTCCTCAACTTACATAGGGGAAAATGGCAAATGTATTATTTCCACTTCTAGAAAGCAGATTGAAGATCAGTAAGGCAGAATGGAGAAAACTTTGCCATAATATTTGCAGAAGAGGTTGCAGCTGAGAAAGGAAACAGCCTGCCTCGAATACTCCAGAAAGTCTTTAGACTTCAGCTCAGAGTCAGCAGATAAAACTGCGAGTGGGAATGAGAGTTTGCAGAAAGCAGAGACTTGAACGTTATATTTAAAGACCTGTATGTATAAAGACACATAGTTTGCTTCCTTTTTCAGAAAGTCTGTTGTGCCCCAGGCAAAAACAACAACAGCAACAAAACAAAAACTCAGAATGTTCTTTTCTCAAGAAACTGAACAAATATTTGGGAAGAGCTTGTGCTGTTAGCATGGGCGTTATCACCCCGGAGTAAAGCCCTTTGCATCCTGTCATTTAGAAAGCCCAAAGTACGCTGATGCTTGCTTCCTCACCCTGTTACCCACAAGAGAAGACTGGCAGTTGAAAACTTCTGTTCCTAGTCAGCCTTATATTTAAGGAAGTTTACCACATGGCAGATAAAGTGAAAGGCAATCATCAAAAACTGTCCTCTGAAGAAAGAGAAAATCATAAAAAACTGACCTCTGAAGAAAGAGAAAATTCAGGGAACTGAAGATAATTTAAAAACAATGACAATGCTACTGCTCTCAGGGAGATTTAAGAAGATATTAAGAAGATATTGAAAGCTATTGCCTCCATAAGAGGAGAACAAGATGCTATGGTAATGAAAAATATAAAGAACAAGGAAGAGCACTTGGAAATCAGAGAAGTGATGGTTCAAATAAAATATTCAACAGAATAATGGGGAGAAAAAGTTGACGAAATCTCTTGGAGATAGCCCAACAAGAGAGGATAAGAGGAGAGAAAAAGTAGAAGTCAGTTAAGGTGAGGGCTTAAAAGTGTGCAGTGCATGGATTTAGCCAAAATGGAGCAATTGGTGGTGATCTTGCCAAAAATAGTTTCAGGGGAGCAATAGACTGAGTGGAACATAAATATCCAAATGACGTGATTCTATTCAGCTGGTTTAAGAAGATTGGCTCAGGGGTTTAAAATTAGTGGAAAAGAGTCCTGGATCTCATTATAAATATATGATCCTAACTTATCCATAGTTTAATGGATTTGTGACTTTACAGTCTTGACTTCTTAATCCAAAACTACCTACTATGCATTAATAGTCACTTCTGGTTCTAGGTGGGAGGCAGTGACCCCAGGCCAGAAACGAGCTGGGTAAGGTTGTCCAGATGATTAATTTATTTTTCAGAAATCCAAGTTGCATGCTGTTATGGATCTTAATGGTACTGATTATGTTTAGTTGTAAGTTGGCAATCTCTACTATGAAAAGGACATATAGGTTATTTGATTAGTTTAACCATTACCATACCATAAAATGGGGTATAATTTGTTATATAAGCAGTTAGAAAATTTTTCAGGGGAAGAGATTTTTTGTTTTCTGCACATAAATAAACTCAGATACCTATTAGAAAAAACAAGTGAAGAGCAGGTGGCAAGAAAAGTGATCCTTAAACCACATTTTTCAAAGGTTTCCGTGTAGTGTTCATTGCCACTCAAGTAGCACAACACCAGCATCAGGACCCTAAGAACAGTAGTAGCTTGCTATATTGATATTATTATTATTAGATTTGGAGGGGGGAAAAGGTTGCCTTCCAGGTAAGAACTGTCTTGGAGCTCATTGTTTAACTACAAATGAAGGGTTTCCAGCACTGCGGCACTCTTCAACAGGAGGCAAAATGATAACGGGTAATAGCTTTAAAAAGTCACTTTTTATATAGCATGTGAGCTTGAGACTTTCAGTCCTGCAAATTAAGTTAAAATGAATGGCTTCTGAACAGCACATTGGGTGACAGGAAGTTTATAAATGTTATGTCTCCTGAGATGTTCCGGTAATAGTAAGTTTGGGTAGAATAAGCTTTTTCTGTAACAGTCTCCTTAGAAAGACCAGCGGTCTCCAGAGAGACTGGTTAATAAGTCAGTTACCTGAGTGTTGAAAATGAAATAGAAAAGGTAAGGGGAGAGAAATGTTAATTTAGCCTATTCAGTGCTTCTCCTACTGGAGTGATGTTCAAGGCTGGCTACCCCACTGTCTGTGATTTGACTCTCATTTCCTTTGGCAGGATGGCCTTCCCTAACACAGAGTTTTGTGTTTTGGTCATGCAGAGCTGACACGGAGAAGACAGTGAATGTGAGATCGAGGATTGGTGCCGGCAGAGGGCTGGAAATGGTGTTAGGAGGGCGACCAGGTGTGCTGTCTGGTTGCACAGCCCCGCGTGTGGAAGATGGCGTCACACCGCGGACTTGGCTCATTCTGCTGCTGCCTTTGCAGCTCTCCGCAGGAGGCGAGGTAATGGTAAGTGGTAGCTCTGTATGTCACTATCTGACAGTCATCCCAGCAAGAGCATTTTAATTTTCTCACGTAAAGGCGCTCTCGGAGGAAACACAATTAATTGGCTTCTGAAACGCCTTGACACTTTGAGATCACTGGACAAATGGTGCTATCGAAGTTTAAGGACAGAACGTGCTTAGGTGTGTGCAGGAAAGAGCATCTCCTTGAAAAAGGCAGTGTTGCTTGCCAGATGTTTTATTTTTTTCTCATCCTTGGGATGGGGTAAGTTTCTGAAGCAGCAGTGAGAGAGAGAGAGAGAGAGAAAGAGAGAAAGAGAGAGATTGAGGTCTCTTCAGAATTCACAGGCCACCAACCCAGCAGCAAGTCTCATGGTTTCATTTTATACACGTAATCCTACATATGTTTACACACAGTTTCTCCTATTTTCTGGTAGCCCTGGAAGTTAATAGTGTTGTTGTTAAATAAATGAATGTATAAATTTTAATGTGGAATGATTTTTTGAAAACGCAGTAATGTTTCCTCAGGAAAGCTTCATGAAGTATTCATTTTTCTATCACCACACTGTAAATCTATTTGCCAGTTATAATCATTTTAAGATTTAGTTTGTTTGCTCTTTGGTTATTATTTTGACTGTGAGGGCAAGAAGGGGAGAATGGCATGATTTTCTCATCTCCCTCCGTCCTCTGCTCCCACTGTCGTTGCCCCGGTTCAGCCTTGCATCCTTTCCTGCCTGGACTATTGCAGTAGCCTCCTTACTCCAACTTTGTCCCTCTGCATGTCCTCCATACAAACACAGCATGTCTGAAGGACATAGCTGATCATGTCAATTCCTCCCTTGATTTTCTTTGCTTAAAAGATACCATCCAAACCCCATGCGATGCCACTCGTAAATTGCCCCATTTCTGCCTCTCCGATCTGGTGATTCTCAACTAGGGTCAATTTTGCTCTTGAGTAGACATTTGACAAGGTCTACGTATATTTTTGATTATCACTCTGGAATATGTGTGAGTATGTTACTGGCATCTAGTGGGTAGAGGCCAGGGATGCTGCTACAGCTCCTATAACGCACAGGACAACCTCTACGACAAAGAGTTACACAGTGCAAAATGTTTATTGTGCAGAGTTTGAGAAGCCCTGCTCTTCTCTAATCTGCTCATTTCTCCTGTGCAACCTGTTCTCTGGCCGTAGGAACTATCTGCCCCTTCACGAACATGCCTTGCAGCTATGCTTGTCTTTATCTTTGCATGTGCCGTTATCTCTGACTAGAATGCTGCCCTCCATTTCCACATTTGGTGATAAAGTGTTATCCTCCCTGGACTTTTGTGGTACCTTGGGCCTCTGTCTAATTTTTGCTTATCCTGCAATGCAACTGTTTTGTTTTGTTTTTGTCCCCTTCTCTCCTACGAGGCAGAGCTATTGATGGTCAGGGATCATGTCTGGCATCTTTCTATTCCCTCCATCTGGTACCAATCTTGGCACAGAGTAAATGTTTGGCATACCTGTTTGTTGGATATTTGTGTAGATGCATGGATGAATAGAATCTGTATTCAGATCAGATGATAGTCAGTAGTCTGATGCCGTTTATAATCTAGGCTACTAATATTCCAACTTGGAAATGAATTCCTCTTTTGGTTCATTTCTTTCAATGTCACCTTCTTGATTATTTTCTTTTGATTCCTACTTTGATTGCTGGTGTGTTGAATGTGGTGGGTGATCAGTAACTATTTCATAAAGGAGTGTTGGCCATAGGTCTAAGTTTAAACAGATTGTAGCATTGGATAACCTTAGAGTCCTTCTCCTTAGGAAAGCAGGAAGTGACTTTCTTTCCTTCAAAATCGATCTCCCTAAGCCACCTTTTCCCTACTCCCTTTCCCTCTACCCTAGTGGGAGCTCCCTACCCCCCCCCCAATAGGGCTCGGCAAAAGCTGACAGTTGGGTGAAGAACTGAAGACTCCTGGAGGGAAAAGGCCTGGAAGCTTCCCACAGATGCAGCTGCCTTAATTCAGTTCACCCTGCTCAAGTTCAGAACATTAAATCCCATCCCTGCTGCGCCAGTCATGCCAGAGATTTATCTCTTCTTCAGGCTGTAGCCTCTTCCCTGGGTTCTGTTCCTTTCAATTATGAATGCTGGTTGGTTCACCCGGCTGCTACCTTAAATCCCAAGGTGAGCTGGTTTCTATCTTTAGCCTTCCTTTTTGTCACCTGGAAGAGAATGGTCTATCCACTTTCTTCAGAATGTCCTTTCTTCCTCTGGTCTGAGTGGATCACTGGGAGAAGTAACTCTCCCCGGGACTGTATCAGGGCGACTTCCCCACTCCCACCTCATTCCCTCGGTAGAGTCGGCTATTGACAGGCTCTAGCTTGGGATCCTTTTTCTTGTTCCCTGGCTCTTTCATTTTGTTACAGACTCTGGTCCTCATCTATTTGCAAGATAATTATTTTCTTTCTTATCAAGTCTCCAGTTATTCTCCCGGACTCTTTCTTGTTCTTTGCCCTCGTTTCTCTAAGGGTACCTATTAGCACTTACGTCCCTGCCCTCTGCATTTGCCATAGCCTTTTTAGGGGATGGCATTTTTTCACAGGCTTTTAACTTGAGACTTCTAACTATTGTGCGTTTGGAGTAGCAGATGCTTGGTGGTCTTAATCTCCCAGTTTTATTGTGTCTCGGAAATGAAGTTGGGGGGGCGGAGAAAAGGAGTATTTAAGGAAGAAAGAGGCAAGAGATCTTCATTTTGCTCTTATCAGAAAAGGGCAAGAGTCACTGTGACGGGGATCTTTTTCTATTAAACTCAGTTCCGAGTTTTGTAGAATTTCCTTTTCTTTCTTAGAGCCTTGATCTTTACTTCTACCCATAAGCAAAGTTTCAGGAATTTGTCTGTGGAATTTGAAAAGGCAAAAACCAACTTCGTGAAGGTTGCTATTGGAGCCTATTTGGTGCTGGGCCTGGCATGGTAAGGAACATACACCTTTTCTTAGGGGCAGCAAAGCCGGGAGAGTGGGTGCGTTCAAGACTGGTGTCCTCGGATCAGACACAAACTGAGGCAGGAAAAAGAAAGTTTTCAGCAGAGACTCCATTCAGGAAGTTACCACTCCCATAAATATAAAATAAAAACAAAAACAGCCACCAAACAACCAAAACCTCCTCTTTTGTTTGTCACAGGCAGTCAGAAAATATAGAACAGCTCACTGAGAGCTGAGGAGACAGGCAATATGTCACAAAACATCTCGAACCGAGAGACAAACAATGTATTCCGGAAGTTTACACAGAAGGTAGACAGCCGGCGAGTTACAGAGGATATGGGACGGAAGCAAAGTGTCCTCGGCCATGTAATTGATAATGAGGGTGTGGAAAGTGAACTCTGAGGTGCCTTAGGAGAGATTTTTAACAAAAGGGCACTAGTGAGAGATGCAGCTACTCCACTGTGGACCAGGGTAGGGTAAGAATAGGGTGGTGAAGATGGAGGAAAAGGAGCAATTGGGATAATACCAGAAGGATAGTCCCCTAACGTCAACAGCTGAGGGTTTTCAGCAATTATTGTATAAGAAAGAATAAGATATTGCTTTTAGAACTCTACTCTCATTGCGCTTGTTACTATCACGAAGTCTCAAATTGACCTCACCTGGTCTTTATGCAGGTGGACAGCTGATCCTAGTTCAGCCAGGATTCTGACGACCAGAATGGAAGGATGGGTGAGCCACACCTCTTGCAGATTGTTGCCCCAACCCCACCCTCTGCCATAGGTTCTTTTGTATAAAGGGTAAACCTCCTCTGATCAGAACCCAATTCACCAGGATGTTTTTTAATACTCCTAGCTCCCACCCCTACTCATTGTGGTTTTGAAGATTTCGTTAAGTTTTATCAGAAAATGATCAAATATCGAGAAAATAGATGGTGGCAATAATGAGTACATGAAAGATCCTAAAATCTATTTTTGATCAATGAATGTGTATTCCGGGATTAGTGTAGGGTCAGCTCCATCTCCTTTACATGGTTTAAATCAGTAGCCATGGAAACTCCTATTTGAAGTTTATTATAATAAGCTTGAAATGATGACCTCTGTCATCAAAGACTCAGCTGTGTTCAGGATGGTGAATGTACTTAGGCTGGAAAGGGAACTAATAATGGATCTTAGAAGGATTTAAAACAAGGGTTGAGGCAAAGGGTTCAAGAACATTCTGATACCTGTTTTTTTTTTTTAAATTTGGCTTTTTAAAAATGACAGTTTTTCAAAGGTACAAAAAGCAGAGAGCTTGATATAATGATCTAGAGGTTTAATTAGATTCGAGTTCAATTGTTGAGGCAAGACTCTTTTCTAGGCAGTGTTTTGTACTTCCTGTTGCTTCATGTCATATGGCCAAAAGGTCTGGTTGTCCCATTTTAAGGGATGCTAAGATGGATGAGTGTGTTGAGGTGTGTCAGCCTCATCTCTCTATTATAAAGTTTCCATTCCTTTGATGGTCACTGTCTAGAGTCGTTATTTCATTTAGGGGCTTGCAGAAGGTGATTGTCTAGTTCTTTCATTCCTTCTGCATTTATTAGTGGAAGTTTTTCCATTAACAAGACATTTCCTTCTCAATTGCTTCATTACTCTGAAACACAGGGAGTATCACCATAAAATACAGGAAGGACAGAACAAACGCCTGATTCACTCTCTTCATTTATCAGCCTCAAGAGTCCTATGTCAGGGCCCCAGCAACCGGATTTGAGGCCACCCAACAAATGTGACAAGAGGAGTGGTTTTTAAATTATTTGCTGAGGTCATTGGTGAAAGGTGTTTGTCCCTCCAGTCTGGAATTATTTTTTCGGCTAAATGTCACCTTCTTACCTTCTCACAGACTCCCTGCCTCCAACAAAAACTAGTAAGTGACAGTGGAGGCATTGAGTTGAGGGAAGAGTTATGGTTTTTGTGTTCATTCTTCAAGTATTTTATGATTTGTATCTAATACAAGGACCTCCCAGACCTGACATTGCAAGGGTAGGTTTAAATATAAATTCTAGGTGTTGAGAGGTGATGTATGGCCTCCTTCTTCCCTTGTGGCAGGCCTGTTGCAAGGATGTGCACAAGCTTGTGATCTATGGACAGGGACCTGCCATGGCAGTAGCATTTCTCAGTAGCCGGCCCTC